AAAAAAGTTCTTCTAAGCCCTAGTCAGTAACTAATTTATTGGATCAATATTAGACTAAAAAACTAAATTATTTTACATCAGTAGTAAATACCTTTAGAAAATTCAATTCTATATTATACACCTTTCCAGAAGCTATTCAAATAGCCCAAACCAATACTTGCTTTCCTCACTATAATACTAAATATATCTATATATAAATTCTGTATATGTATTCATATTCTAGGGTAACAGATAACCAAGTGGCCTATACGCATCTTATTTGCTAAAATTATTCTATTTGAATAACAATATGTTAATTATGACTTTTAAATTTATGAATACTTTTTCATTCTGAATCTCAGTCCTTCAAAGAAATAATTCATAGTAACTTTTTGTGATTATAGGAAGATACACGTTCATTGTAAAAATTCAAACACTACAGAAATACTAAAGGTAGAAAATATAATTCCCCTAATCTTACAGCCTCTTGTTGCCTGGATAACCACCAATAACAATTTGGTATACGTTCCTATAGATTTTCTGTTCTTTGCATATAATTTAGGCAAGTTTTCACAAGAATTACGGTTTGGGGGAGTGAAAAAGGAAGCAGTATGAGGGAAATTATTTTGTAAACACGCTTGCTAACGCTAAAAACATGCTTAAATGCAAAGGCAGAATACATAGCTGCATATATTGTATAATCCATTTTTGTCTATAAACAAATATCAAAAAATAACATTAGGCTCCAGGGAAATACAGAGCAAAGGCAAAACCAGATACTACTTCTCACACACTAGAATGGCTATAGTCAAAAAGACATAACTAGTGGTGTTAAGAATGTGGAGAAATCAGAACCCTCACACGCTGCTGGTAAGAATATAAATGGTATAGCCCTTTGGAAATAATTTGGCAATTCCTCAAAATGTTAAACATAGAGTTACTGTATATGACCCATCAATTCCATTCCGAGACCTCCAAGAGAAAGTAAGACGCACACATCCACAAATATCCATAAAATGGAATATTTGATAATAAAAAGGAATGAAGCACTGATACATGCTACAACATGGATGAATACTGAAAACATTGTTACATTGAAACCAGTGACAAAAGAGCCACATACTATGTGATTCCATTTATATGAAATGTCCAGAAGTAAATCTATAGAGACAGAAAGTGGATTAATAGTTGCTTAGGGCTCAGGAGTTGGGGGAAAATGAGGAGTGACTATTAATGAACATGGAGTTTTTTCATGGAGTGATAAAAATGTTGTAAAATTGATTGTGGTGATGCTTGCACAACTCTGTAAATACACTAAAAACTACTGAATTGTACACTTTAGGTGAACTGTATGACATGTGAATATTATTTCAGTAAAACTGTTAGAAAATAATAACATTTGTCATTTCTGGATGATGAACAACTAGTCATCTTTATTTTTTTATTTACATCTTTTTGTAATTTCCAAATTTTTGGTAATGACTAAGACTATTATTTTTTAAATCAAAGGGAAAATTATTTTTCAAAGTGCTCCTTGTGAGAAATACAGTGATATTATACTGGGGATTGAGATGGAATTGCCACTTGAATTCATTTAGTTATTCATTCATTCAATATCTACCATGTATTCCAGGAATTGTCCCAGCAGGAGAAAAGTGCTAACTCCAAATCAATAAATTACATCAATTTAACACAGACAAGACTCCTCTGTTGATTTCAAAAGATCAATTATACATCATACCATCACTGACTTAACTGCTTTAATTCTGCACCAAAGGTTTTACTTAACTATGCAAGAAGTATCAGGAAATTCTCTCTTCATTAAAATAATGTTTCCAAATTTTAAAACTCCTTTTAATATTAAAAAAAAAACAATGCAACATTTCATAGTTTGATAGCAGAAAAGGTATACCAACAATTCAATTAGCAACAAGGGGTAATAACTCAAAAACAATGAGAATCATTTAAGATCCTTTATTGGCTATCAGGTCGATCATAACAAGAATCTTAATGTAAACTGTTACCAAGATTAAAACAAAGTCAAAAGAATTCCTCAGCAATAGTCTGTCCTGAAGTTGAAAAGACCATAGGCTGAAAGCATAGACGAGGAGGAATAAGAAGTATATGCTATTTTTGTTATTTCAGCTACATGTACCTATCACCTATCCGCTGAAAATTAAATAATCAGAATCTGCAAGGATAGTACCATGAAAAGGTTTTGGGGAAGTGGCTGGCCTCATCTAACTTCTTGATTAGGAGAGTGAAACAAGGCATCTATATTTTGAAAAACTTCACTGGCTACCCTGAAGTGCAACCAGGCTTAAAAATCACTATATGAAACAATACTCCTCAAAGGAAACAAGGGAAAGAAAAATCAGTTCCATGATTTAAAAATTAGAGTCAATGTAGCAAATACACTGAAGGGTGAAAAACTTGAGAGCAAGAAGACTACAGTACTAATCATAGTAATCATACTCCAAAAGTCTGGTGGAGGCATGTTGGCTTGCACCAGGGAAGCAGAAAGCAGAATGGATCAAGTCAAGCCCAAGCAGAAGCTACAGGACCTAATCACCAAATAGTTGTGGGAAATGAAGGAGAAACAAAAGGCAGAAGTGACTCCAAGGTCTCAAACAGTAACCAGATGGCCAGGGATACCATTAACCAATGAAGGGAAGACAAAAAAGAGATGCTGGTTTGAAAGCTAAAGAGTAACCAGAGAAAAGGTTCAAGAGGCTTTAAGGTTTTGTAATGTTGTATTTGTCATGTTCTACTAAAGTGGGATTTTGAGTACATCCGCTATAATACTTTGTAATGTCCTACTGAAGTTGGATACTGAGTACACAGGGGTTCGTTTTATTATTGTTTTTAAAATTGAGCATACAGATATCACAAAATTCAGGTGGAAACAAGGAGTCAAAACTCCTATGCATGATATACGTAATAATGAAAAAAGTGGAAAAAAGGGAAGGGTAGGTAGTAAATTTGGTTTGGGACCTATTGAAACTAAAGAACTCTATCATTCATGAGACAGAAGTTACAGGGGAAAAAAGAGAAGTTAGAGAAGTTTGGAAATGGTTAGCGTACAAAGATAATGCCATGGAAGCCAAGGATGTAGATGAGAATTCTCAAGGACAGCCTGTGAAAGACCATGGGATGGCGAAGAGCCAACAAAAGGAGTCAACTAAAACAGAATAATTAAAATGGATAAAAGCCCTTACCAATTCCTTTCCCTCTCCAAAGGCATACAGAAGAAAATAAATTAAAAAAAAAAAAGCTACCATTTATCTCACTAAATTCCAGTGGCGGGTCCAGAATTTCCAGTTAGGTGGAGTTACAGGAATAAACTGTTTGAAAGAGGGCCTGAAGACGCTTTTATCAAATTAGAAAATATTAACTGACCACATGAAAACACTAAGAGAAAGAGTTTTGAGGGAAATAATTCCTCTCCCCTTTGGCACCAACACTGCTATATTCTAGGCATTGCATGAAACAGGTCATCTAATCTTTCATCCCCATAATAAGCTTATTAGATAGATGAGGAAACTGAGGCTGGACTGGAATAGCAACTTGCTCAGGGTTACAGATCTTCCAAGGAGTTCTCTCATCTGGGTTCCCAGAGCTCTCATAGCTCTTTATACCTTCCTAGAGTTTCTCATTACGCATCTTGCTTTAATGCACATTTATGTGCCTCTCTCTCACTGTACTGTTAGCTCCTCAATGACAGGGTTTGTGTCATTCACTTCTGTATCCCTATAGATAGGAATAAGTAAATATTCTGTTGAATTAAGCATATGAAAGAACTTGGTGAGAATAGCATCAAGGAAGCCAACAGGGGAAAGAGTTTTTAGAAATGGTCAACAGTGGCAAATGTACAGAGAGCCATCAGTATATCCGAATTCATCATTGGCATTGAACTGATATCCCTTATTCATTTATTGAACGCCTACTATACGCAGGACAATGTGTTAAGCACAACGAACACGGAAAAGTAAAATCTGGTACACACCAAAAGGTTTTTGGAGAAGTAGACACATCTAAATTCTTGATCGGGAGACCAAAGCAGAGTTGGGCCTGTAATTGCCTACACCTAATTTGGCTAGGGTAAATCTGAAAACAACTTAAAAGGGTCACAGTGCATCTTTTAATAAAACTTCTGATGGGGCACACGAGATGAAAAAGGGCCAGTGCACCTCAGTCTCGGTGACGAGAGCCGGTGGCCAGGGAAGCCGACTCCCTTCGGAGTCTCTGGCCCCCAAGCAGAGCTGAGGCTGCCCCTAGCTGCCAGTCCGTGGTCGGGGGCGGGAAAAAGCAAGATACTTACCGCAAAAAGCACCGCTACCGCTGTGGCCCAAAGGGGCCGGGGATTCTTTCGCGAGGCCCCCGCGCCGTGGGAGGAAACCAAGGAAAGCAGGGATCAGACAGACAGGTGCGACCCCACAGCCCGACTTCCCAAACTATACAAACTAGGGCTCCAGCGCCCAGCACCGCGACGCCAACTCCCACCAGCTGGAAGACCGACGATTGCCACCGAACCTTCCGCCCAATGAGGAAACGTCACCACTCAGCGAAGTCCACCCTTTCATGAAAAGGATACACTTCCGCTTCCGGGGTACCTGCCGCATTCTTTCAGTGCTTTAACTGCAAAGGTTTATTAAGATGTTTCTTTGCTTCGACTGGCTTTTTGACATTCCGTTTTCTATCTCTCAATCACTGCGACAGCAAAGTGGCAAGATAGGACGCCCTCTAGGGATGTGATCTCAGGAAAGAATTCCGGCCTCGATAAGTTACTTTAAGAAAAAGTGGCTAGGTGATGCCAGCTAAGAGGGTAGTGGTGAGAGATGGAGGTGCGATTAAAGAGTAGGGATTCCTCCCCAGGCGCGCGTTGAGAACTCCCAAGAGGGGCGGGGCTTACGGATTTCGCAGCCGGGGGAGGTGGGTTCCTCCGTGTCGGATCTGGCGTGGAGACCCGTCTCTGCCTGCGCGTGCGCAATGCGAACCCTCCCCTGTGCTGTTTTCTTTCAGCATGGAATTCCGCTCAGCGCGGCGAGCAATCCTACGGCTGCTGCGTACGGTGACTCCCGCGGACCTCCCAGCGCTGCTCGAATGGATGCGAACTACCCGTAAGCGAACAGAGCCAGACGCAAGTGGTTGGGGCAAGGATATGCTATGGGCGCTGACCTTTGGGACTTAAGACAGGGTGAGGCTGAAAGCCTCCTAGGGGTCGCTGTGCTGGTCCCCGCTCGAGTATAGGACAGATTGGCGGGGGCACACCTCAAACTTCAGCAGTTTAAGAGTCCAGTTTGGGATTGGGTGCAGGAAGACCTGGCTCTCGGTTGTTTGTGATTGCGCTGCAGACTTCACACAAGCCACTAGAGGCTCCTTGTGCCTAACCCTTTTCAGAAGGAAAAGAAAGGGAGGGGTATTTTGCCCCTCTTCTCTCCCCCCATTACTCCCACAAACTTGTGACTACCAGTTAAGATACTACCTGAAAAAGCACTTCGCAAAAGAGTTTCAGGCAGTGGAGCAGGAAGCTTTTACCCTGCAAGCAAAATCACCTGTAGCTAGTGCATTTATTTTCTCAGTTGTAAAGTGGACCATCAATTTGATAGCAGTTTTTCCGGGGTGAGGGAAAGGAGAGAAGGGGGTGGGGGTAGGGAAAAGACTCTGATTTTAAACTGTTAATAAAATTAATAATTAAAATCACAAGTTAGAATCGAGGAAATATGTTGATTAGGTAGACTTGGTGAAGAATGGTTAGATCTGTTTTGGCAAAGTGAGGCCTGGTGAAGCACAAGAAAATAGGATATTCCTTGTTTGGGAGCTGTGCCAAACTAGGCTATGCCTCTATACCTCTCAACATTGAATCCTATGTTTATTTTCATCCAGACTCATGACTTGAAATATTCCTGTGTGCTAATGATTTCCAAACTTGACTTCTTCCTAGAACTCTCTTTCTTTGTGATATTAGAGTCAGTCAGTAGGTTGGGGTATTACTATTATTACACATTTGGGGAGATCATTTTAGATAAGATGCCAAACTGAAATTAACTTGGACTACTAATAGTGAAGTTTAGCCTGGAAAAGTAGAGAAAACCAGACAGGTTAACTTCATACTTATCCACACATAACAAGATTCAGGATGGGAATTGCTGAGTCTCCTGTCTCTTCATTTAAACCTTGTATTGCCAGTTTTATCGATCATATCACAATTGATTATAAAACGTGCTAATTTCCAGGGTTTTTTCTGCATTCTTCAGCACAACATCTTTTATTCCAAAAACCCTGAGTGCCTACAAAAATGCCACCTACTGCCTGGTTCTGGCAATTGCACAATTACTAAAATACCCTTTCCTTCAAGATTTCAGTTTTGTGGAACCATTTGTAATCTAAATCTCCAGTTTTAGAGGCATCATTTGAGAACTCCATTTTTCAAAATCAGGAAAACTTGCAAGCGTGTTTTGGATGATAATTTTGTAAACAAGAAGACCCAATATCACTGGCTAAAGAGTACCTTTTTACTCTTTTAAAAAGCTCTTTCTGCTCCTTTCTCCAGCATACGCTGTAGTCAGAGAAGCTCATGCATTTTGTTAAATGATTTAGAAAACAACCTGAGTTTCTGAGAATGTTTATTAACGTGAGTATTTTAAGAAATGAGGGTGTCACTTTGCTTAAAATGGAGTGTTTTAACATAAATCTTAAAAAGCAACTTATTAGTATACCGTTTAGGTGGTAAAATACTGATAACATAAAATTTACTATTTTAAGTTATTTTTAAGTGTACAGTTCAGTGGCTTTACATACATTTATTTGCATTGTGCAACCATCACCACCATCTATCTCCAGAACTTTCTCATCTTCTCAAGCTGAAACTTAGTATACCTTTTTATGAAGTGGCTCTAAATAGAGCACAAAAGATTCTTCCAATTACTTTCCTAATTAATGTCCTTCTAGGAAAAAAAATTATCTTTTATCTCTAGCATTATGCATTAAGTCACTTGCATAATATCTTACTTGTCTGATGTTTTCTTAGACCTTTAGTAATTATAAATTCTCCTTGAATTTTTCTGCCATTTAATGGAATAGCAAGGGACAATATTAGGCACTGAGTATGACTTTGGTTTTGAGTTTCGTAGTTTATTAAAACTAAAAAACATTGCAGGTAAAATCACAATAATTTTAGATCTACAAAAGGAAGAATAATATTCTTGATCTCTGAAGGAATAGTGGGATTATCTCGCCAAGACCCGGGGTCATATAGGATCAGGCTGTTGGAACCAGAAGCTTGGACCAGAGCAGAGCCAAGCATATGTCAATGCCTGATAAACTGAAGATGTAGAAGAAATAAAGATTAGGAGCCGAGATTTTTCCTTGGTACAGCATAGGCCAAAGATCTAGGAAACAAAGAACACTAATATGGGAAGGATGAACCAAGTCTGAGGGGCAAAGCACAAAAAGATACCCACCCCTCCCCCCAAAAAAATTAAATAAAAGGAGTAAAATACAGCAGGACCTCAGCTGATTGATTCTGATCTTGTAGCAGAGCATCTGTTCTATTTCCTGTATGTAAGTAAAGTGGGCTCTTGATCTAGATTTCAAAGTGTAGGAGAGTGACTGCAACCCATTAAGTGAAGGGAGCTAAGAACCAGAACTACAAGTGGAATCCCCAATCAGCATATAAAAAAATACATTGGGGGATGCCTGGGTGGCTCAGTTGGTTAAGCCACTGACGCTTGATCTCAGCTTAGGTCTTGATCTCAGGGTCATGGGTTCATGCCCTGCATTGGGCTCCACCCTCAGCGTGGAGCCTACTTAAAAATTAAAAAAAAAAAAAAAAATACATTGGAACAGCTCTCTGTTAACAAATGCTTTTCTGAAGCCTCTGAATTTTTCTTGGATATGCAAATACAAATGAGGAAGTCAAACCCACAGCCCATAAGAGTTTCTATTAAGAATCAAGTTGCAAAGGAAAGAAAATTAGGGTTTGCTTTAAGAAAATTAACAAAATCATCAAAAATTATTTAATGCTTAAAGAAGGTAGCAGTAGGTGACTAGAAGCTTTTAGAAGCTTTACTGTATCCTGTATTTTAAGTATATCTTCACTGACCAGAATTGGACATGTTTGTGAGATGCGGCTGCAGAGCTGTTAGAAGTTCTTTGAAATTCCTGCAAATCTAAAAAGCCAAGCCCGGTTTCTAGTTACATTTGTTAGACAGCATACAGCCCCAGTTCCATATTGCATTACTACTGAGGAAGTATCAATATAACAAAGATATTCCAGTCTTTATTGAAACCATATGAATCTATGAAAGTTATCAATTACATGTGGTAACAGAAATAGATTGTTTCTTCAAAAACTAAAAAGGTGTACTGAGCAAATTGGTACCTCTTTTCTTTTTAATTGGTATCTCTTAAAATTTTTCTGTTAAAAAGAATTAATACTTTTCTTTAAAGAACTTTTGTACTTTAATATATTGTTGTATATTAAAAATGGACATGATAAATGAAAAGAATAATATATCATAAACAAGTGAGTTTATCCCAAGAATGTATTGTTGAACATTATAAAATCAATGTAATTCACCATGTTAAGTAAAAAGAAAAACTATGTTATTATCTAAATAGACCAGAAAAAGCTTTTGACAACATCCAACATCTCTTCCTGATAATAACTCTCATCAGACTAGAAGGGAACACTCTCAACCTGATAAAGGGCATCTGTGAAAAATCTACAGCTAACCTCAACTTAACAGTGAAAGACTGGGTTCTTCTCCCTAAGATCAGAAACAGCAAGGATGTGCACTCATTGCTACTACCCAGCATCATAATATAGCTTCTGGCCTGTACGATATGGCAAGAGAAAGAGGAAGAGGGAGGCATTTCAATTAGGAACAGATGAATAGATAAATAAATTGTGACTTATTTTTATAATGGAGTACTACTTGGCAAATAAATGGAAAGAAGTATTTGCACAAAAGCATGTATAAATTATACTAAGTGAAAGAAACCATATTAAAAAAGACTATATTATATAATTTCACTTATCTAAAAACAGAAAATGCAGACTAACTTATAGTGACAGAAAATAGGTCTCTGGCAGCTGAGTGAGTAGAGGGGTTAGGGAGGAGAAGGATTACAAATGGGCAGGAGGAAACATCTGGGGGCGACAGATATGTCTACCATCTTGATTGTAAGTGACAGTTTCATGTCTGTTTACGTCATATTTATGTAATTCTATACTTTAAATATGTACAGTTTATTGTGTATGAATTCTATTTCTATAAAGCTGTTTTTTGAAAAATGGCCACAAGTTCTTTGACCCTCATTCCATGAGAGGTCTGATCTGTATTGTCTACCTTTGAGTCTGGGTGGGCTCTCTGACAGCTTTGACCAATAGAATATGACAGAAGTGACACCATGTCCGTTTCAGATCCAGGACTTAAGAAACTGGCAACTTCTACTTTCTGTCTCTTGGCATGCTTGGTCTGGGAGAAGCTAACCATCATGTATGCAGTCTGACTACCTTGAGATTATCAAACTGTCAGGAACTCCCAGCTATCCTATGGAGAGCCAGATGCCCAACCACGCTATAACTGTTCTTGCCATCCTAGTCCAGACACTAGACATGTGAGTGAAGTAGACATCTGAAATGCCTAGTCCAGTCAAGCCTTTCTTACAAATAACATTGCTTGAGCATTCATATACAGATTTTTGTGTTAACCTAAGTTCTCATTTCTTTGTGATAATATTCACGAGTGCAATTGCTGGGTCATATGGTAAGTGCATTTTTAGTTTTATGGAAATGCCAAACTGTTTTCCGGAGTGTCTGTAGCACTTTGCATTTATACAAACAATATAAGAGGTAATCCAATTTCTTTGCATCCTCACTTGCATTTGGTATTATCACTATTTTTATTTTAGCCATTCTGTTAATTGTGTAGTAATATATCATTGGGTTTTAATTTCCATTTCCCTCATGATGTTGAACAATTATTGTTCATGTGTTTATTTGCCATTTAAATATTATCTTTTGATGAAATGTCTGTTCATGTCTCTTGCCCATTTTTAATTGTATTTTTTGTTTACTGTCATTTTGAGTGTTTTTTATGTATTTTAGATATAA